GGTTTGAGCCTCGCTCCCATCGCTTCGGTGAGAACCAGTCGGACGCCCCTCGCTTCTAGATATTTCCCTGTCGCTTGACCTCAAGTCGCGACATTAGGTCGAAACTCTCCCAAGCGACCGGCGTTCTCTCAGAACCCACACACTCACACTTTCCTTTCCCATAGGTCGGGAGGTGCGCACCCTTACGATACCATACGATACGTAGATAGCCTACATTACATCGCCAACACTCAGGGAACGAACCTTTCAGCACCTGCACTTCAGTGGGCGGTGCTTGTCCTTAACCGGACGCGTGGACTAGGTTCCTGCTGCATACTAGCCAAAAGCAGTACTGGGCCCCACGTGAATCGCGAACCCTAGTGTCATCTCGGGCGCCGTAGGTGTAAGCTAGTCTACCACGGCCTTTCGTAGTACGCGCACCTTCCCGTCCTCCCCCCATCCATCGTGGCTGCCTGCCAAGGCCAGATCCACGCATTCGACTCCCAGGACCTCATCGACGTCTACATCCCAGACGGCCCTGAGACTGTCCTCTACCGTTGCGAGCAGCAGCCGTGCCCAAATCGGACACCCCGATCGATCGAGGAGGATTACCCTCGCTACAAAGCGATCCGACGAGCGCAACACCCGCTCGGACCCCGAAGCACTCTCGCTTCTCGATCGGCCTCGCGGCACTCTCGCCCTGTCTCCCCTACCTCCCGCCTCCCTCAAACTGTCGCCGATCAAGCGCGAGGAGATCTCCCTCCAGACCCTGCGCCAGAGCCTGAGCCTGAGGAGGGTGATAGTGAAGAAGGAATCTCGGAGTCCGAGTCCGCGGATCTTGCTCGGCCCGCCTCGCCGACAGCGCTCGCCTCCGCGTCAGCAATCCCTGACGTACGTAACCCCTCCACCGAACTTCCTCCGGCGCCTTCACCGCCGACTCCGCCGAGAGGCCGCTCGAGCACTCGCTCCTCTCGAAGTTCGACCAGCGGAAGGCCACCACAGCCGCCTCCGCCCCCGCAGCGTCCTCCGTCCCCCCCAACGCCGATAATGTCATCCCCCGCAGCCGCCCTCGACAAGGAGACGTTAAAACTCCTACTCCCACTCCGATACGATGGCAAAACCGTCATCGATTGCGACAGGTTCTTGTCGCAGCTGCGCATCTACTGGATGATCAACACGTCGTTGACCACCATCGAGCTCAAAGTCCAGGTTGCGCTAAGCCTGCTCGACGGTGATGCCCGTGCCTGGGCCACCCCCTACTTCGCCCAGCTCGTATCAGTGCAGATAGGGGTGCAAGGGGCTACAACCCCGTTCGCAAACGAAGCGGCCTTTGCCGCCGCCTTCAAAGCCCGCTTCGGAAATCTCGACGACGAGGCGGCAGCACAAGTAGAGCTGGCGAAGCTCTGCGCGGACAAGACGGTCCGTGAAAAACGCACCGCTGCGGAATTCTCCGCGCTGTTCAAGGGTCCGGCGGACCGTTCTGGGTATGGGGACCTGGAGCTCCGCGACAAGTACCTGAGTGGCATCCCCTCCCGCGTGTACCGAAAGATCGAGCTCGAGACTTTCACCACGTGGCAAGACGCTGACAAGCGCGCCACTGAAGTCGAGCAGATCCTCGACATTAGCCGGGCCCGTCGACCCGAGCTAAATAACTTCTTCTCGGCCCGAGGTCGAGGACGCGGTGGGGCACGTGGTGGTGCACCCTCGACGCACGCAGCTTCGGCCAGCATCAATGCGGCCGTCGGAAAAGGCAACTTCCCCGGCACATGCTTCGGCTGTGGGAAGCAAGGGTACCGACGATTTGAGTGCCCCAATTGTAAGGACAAGCCTTACACAAAACGCGCCGATGCGCGGGCTACAGTTGCCTCGGGCTCCACCCAGGCTGCGACAAGCGCCCCCATCACGACGACACCCTCGGCAAGTATAAGTGCCGCTTCAGCGAAATCCGAGCAATCGGAGCTGGCGGACTTAATGGCACAGGTGAAGTCGATGCGCGAGGAGCTCGAACACTATCGGGCGATGAAGGAGGAGGGTTTTTGATCCGGTCCGCGCTTCGTGCCGCACGCGTCGGGCCGGGTATATCATGTAATCGTTATAATGTATTGTCGACTGCAATGGTGTATGAGTTGGACCAGGGGTCCCAGCACTTTCACATTCCAGTTCGACTTCAAGGGAAAAGACGGCACAAGGACGTAATCGCTATGGTGGACAGCGGGGCCACCACGAAGTTCATTAACAAGCGATTCATTATCGAGAATAAGGTGCAAACGCGGAAGTTGAAGGAACCAATTCCGCTGTACAATATTGACGGCACCCTGAACAAGGACGGAAGCATCTCGGAGGTAGCAGTACTACAGATGCATATAGGAGAGCACGTCGAGAAGGCGGTGTTCACGGTCACGGACATCGGTCCAGAAGATGTGATCATCGGGTTGGATTGGCTACGCGAGCACAACCCAGAAATAGATTGGGAGAAGGGCTCCCTCAAATTGTCGCGATGCCCTGAAACGTGCAGCGCCAGGAGGACTGGCCGAATGGAGCAAGCAGCGACTGCGCGTGATACGGGGGTCAGGCCCACGGCGCGCAGGCGTTCGCTGAAGTCCAAACGGTCGGTTATAGGTGCCTGCCTGAGTAAGGTACTCCCGGACTTCGAACCCGAAGAAGATCCGGTGGAGGTAGAGTGGGATGAGGCCGATTTGATCGAAGCCTGGGAGCAAGGTGTCACGCTTCCCGGCGCTCCTCAGCTGTTCGTCGCAGCAGGACACACGTACTCCCAGCTGTTTGCTGAGGAGGAGATCAAAAAGAAGGTCGTTAAGACCGCCGAGGAGTCGGTACCTAAACGGTACCACGAGTTCCTGAATGTCTTCTCCAAAGAAGCATCAGAACGGCTACCTGAAAGGAAGCCCTACGATCATGCGATCGAACTCGTACCCGGCTACTCGACCTTCCACTCTAAAGTGTACCCCTTGTCGAACAACGAGCAGGAGGAACTAGACAAGTTCCTAAAAGAGCAACTAGCGAAAGGCTACATACGGGAGTCGAAGTCGCCCATTTCATCCCCCTTCTTCTTCATCAAAAAAAAGGAAGGGACGCTTCGACCCGTACAAGACTACCGCCGATTGAACGCGATCACGGTCAAAAACCGTTATCCTTTACCATTGATCGCCGAGATGGTGGATAAGCTCCGCGGCGCTACGCTCTTCACAAAGTTCGACGTTAGATGGGGATACAATAACGTCCGGATCAAGGCCGGTGACGAATGGAAGGCGGCCTTTGTGACTAACCGAGGGTTGTACGAGCCCTTGGTGATGTTCTTTGGTCTCACCAACTCCCCCGCGACTTTCCAGGCAATGATGAACGAGATCTTCCACGATCTCATCGTCGGCGGCAAGATCCTTGTGTACCTGGACGATATACTCATCTTCTCCACCAATAAAAAGGAGCATGAGAAGGTCACACACGAGGTTCTGCGCCGCCTTCAGGATAATGACCTATTCCTGAAGCCTGAAAAATGTGAATGGGATGTTCCCAAGGTCGACTACGTCGGCTATGTGTTCGGTGGCGATGAGGTGGCGATGGATCCCGCGAAGCTTAAAGGTATCAATGAGTGGCCGGTGCCCCGGAACAAAAAAGACGTTCAGAAGTTCCGAGGGTTCTCCAACTTCTACCGCCGCTTCATTAAGGACTTCGCTAAGATCTCGCGACCACTCGACCGGCTCACAGGGAACGACCCATGGCATTGGGGTGAGGAAGAGCAGCACGCCTTCGATGAGCTCAAGCGGCTCTTCGCGACGACTCCAGTCTTGGCGCTGTACGACCCTAATCGGGAGACGCGCATTGAGGTTGATGCCTCGGGGTACGCCACTGGCGGCGTGTTGATGCAGAAGCAGGATGACGGTAAATGGCATCCCATCGCCTTCAGATCACATGCGATGGACCCGGCGCAGCGGAACTACGAGATCTACGATAAGGAGATGCTCGCGATCATTGAGGCACTGGACGATTGGCGCCACTATCTCGAGGGGTTACCCAATCAGTTCGAGATCGTGACCGATCATAAAAACCTCGAGTACTGGCGTACATCCCAGCATCTCACGCGCCGTCAAGCGCGATGGTCGCTGTTCCTAGCTCGCTTCGACTTCCGCATCACGCACAAGGCCGGGACGTCCAATGGAAAGGCTGACGCCCTGTCGCGACGATCAGACCATCAGATCGGCGATGAGGACGATAACACCGATCAGATAGTCCTCAAGCCAGAGCGCTTCCGCATCGCCTCCGCCCGGCGCGGCCATGCCTCGGTGACGGCCGATCAGTCGCTTCTGAAGCGCATCAGGGAATGTTCGGAGAAGGATCGGGAGGTGGCCGAGGCACTTGAAAAGGTGCAGGACCTAGGGCCGCCCCGGCTGCAAAGGGGTTTTGAAGAGTGGAATGCCGAACAAGGGCTTCTGCTGTTCCGCGGGTGTGTGTACGTCCCAAAGAACGCAGAGCTCCGGCGGGATATAGTCAAAATCCACCACGACTCGCCGATCGCCGGTCATGGCGGTCGTGCCAAAACCCTGGAGCTCGTGTCACGGAACTACTGGTGGCCTGGAATGTCCAAATTTGTCAATGAGTACGTAAGCACCTGCGACGTGTGCAACCGTACCAAGACATTCCCAGCCAAGCCCCAGGGTCCGCTGAAGCCGAACGAGATCCCCGAGCGCCCGTGGCAGATCATCACGACCGACATGATCGTCGGCTTGCCAAAGTCTGATGGATTCGACTCGATCCTGGTTACCGCCGACCGCTTTACCAAGCAGGTCCACTTCTCAGCCTGTCATGAGACCCTGACGGCAGAAGGTGCGGCAGACCTGTACATCCGCGATGTGTTCAAGCATCATGGGGCCCCGGCCAAGGTCATATCAGACCGAGGTCCCCAGTTTGCTTCGAAATATCTCCATGCGGTGTACAAGGGACTTGGAATCGAGCCGGCGCTGTCCACAGCGTTCCACCCCCAGACAGATGGCCAGACTGAGCGCTGGAATCAGGAGATCGAGCAGTACCTGCGTGCCTTCACAAGCCACAGGCAGGATGATTGGGCGAAGCAGTTGCCGCTCGCGGAATTCGCACTAAACAACCGAGTTCACTCCGCGACCGGGCATTCCCCTTTCTTCCTGCATCAAGGGTACAATCCTGAGATCCAGGTTCGGATCAATCCGATGTCTGCGATGCCTGCGGCCGCCGATCGACTCAAGATCCTGAAGGAGATTCGCGATGACACGCGCTCTGCGCTCGAGCTGTCGGCCGAGCGCATGAAGGTGTACTACGACAAGCACGTGCAGGAGGCACCGGTCTTCGCGCCAGGGGACAAGGTCTGGCTTGATGCCCGGAACCTTAAGCTGAAACAGCCGAGCAAGAAGCTCAGTCCCAAGCGCCTCGGACCTTATGCCGTGCGGCGAAAGCTCGGAGACTTGGATTATGAATTAGTCCTGCCGAAATCGGTGCCGGTGCACCCAGTATTCCATGTCTCCTTGCTGAGCAAGTACACGCGTAGCGATATCCCGGGCCGGGAGCCGGAGGAGCCGCCTGCGATTGAGGTTGAGGGCGACGAGGAGTACGAGGTTGAACGGATCAAAGATTCACGGATCTTCCGGCGTCAGCTGCAGTACCTCGTCAAGTGGAAGGGTTATGACGACTCGCATACGTCATGGGAACCGGCGCGCAACGTTGCCAATGCACCGGCCCTCATAGCCGACTT